TTTTTCTGGGAGATGAGGTTAAATCATCAATCATTATAGTTAAAGAGAGAAAATACTTTTGGGTGCAAGCCAAGGGCAATTTAATCTTCAAATAAAATTTGGATATTGCAGATATAAGTTATCCTTTCTCACTTTTTGTGGCTGCTTGGTCTTTCTATGAATTTTAGGTTTATCTTTTTTGAAAATCTGGATTGGTTTTTTAGTGCCTTGTTTTGGGCATTTTGATATCTGGCTGAGTAGCTGATCCATTGATTGCCTTAGGAGAGAGGATGATGCAAAAGAATATTTTGTGAAGTATAAAGAGCTCTCCTATGATGAATGTTATTGGGAGTCTGAATCAGATATAGCTGCTTTTCAACCTGAAATTGAAAGATTTAAGAAAATCCAGTCCAGGTCTCACAGAGCTTCTGATAGTGAGCAGAAGAGCACTGTTCGAGAAGCTGCTGTCTTTAAGTATCGGTCAAAAAAATTTCAACAGTTTGAACATAGTCCAGAATTTCTTTCTGGAGGTATGTAGTATTTTTATTGCAATCTAGCACGCATGCCAGCTTGGGGTCAATAGTTTGATCTTCCATTTATGAGTCTGATTTTTGTGACTATAGGCTCACTGCATCCATATCAGCTTGAGGGGCTGAACTTCTTACATTTCTCTTGGTCCAAACAAACTCATGTTATACTTGCTGGTGAGATGGGTCTTGGTAAGTTTTGTTTGTGTTTTTCCTCTACTTTATTTTGCTTCTATTTGCCATTCCCCCCTTTTTGGTTTGAGGAATTTATCTTTTTATCTCGGTGATGGGATTGCTGAGGCTTGCCGGTAAAACCATCCAGGGTATTGCTTTTTTGGCATCTCTTTTTGAAGAGAATTTCTATCCTCATTTGATAGTGGCACCACTTTCCACCTTACGGAACTGGGAACGAGAATTTGCAACTTGGGCACCTCAAATGAATGTTGTATGTACATAGAGATTTTCAATTGATCAATATTGATGTTTACATGATGTTATTTTGAGTGCAATTACATGTGTTGCAGGTTATGTATGTTGGCTCTGCCCAAGCTCGTGCAGTTATTATGGAATATGAGTTTTATTATCCCAAAAATAATAAGAAGATCAAGAATAGGAAATCAGGTCAAGTAGTTGGTGAAAGCAAACAGGATAGGATAAAATTTGATGTCCTCTTAACATCATATGAGATGATTAAATTGGACACAACATCACTGAAGCCAATAAAGTGGGAGTGCATGGTAAAATTCTGTCTTATGGAGTACTAATGGAAGTATTCAATGCATGTTTTTGCTTACAGTTGCTTCTTCATTTAGATTGTAGATGAAGGCCATCAGCTCAAAAATAAGGATTCCAAGTTGTTTCTTTCACTGAAGCAGTATACAAGTAACCATCGTGTGCTTTTAACACAAACCCTTCTTCAGGTTTGTTTTGTGTTTTTATTATTGCATTGCAATTTGTTAAGATCTCTTGAGTTCAATGGTGTTTTTAGGAGTAATTGACTGATAATTTGCCATGCTTCTTCAATGTAACTCTGATTATGTAGTTTGACGGTGCCATGAAGACGTTATGAGTTTCCTTTTATTGAGCTAAACTGAAACATAAACACATGCTTTGGACATGTATTGTTGATGCTTTATCGTGTAATTACATTGGTTTATTGGTTTTAGGATTGGTTTGAACTGTATACATTGTTTCTTTTTTATTTGCTGTCAACTGTATGCATTCTTGATGCTGGTTTAGTTATTGGCTAAGACAATTGGATCTGGCCTTTTGCTATTGTCCAACACAAAATGATTCTTTTTTTTCAATGGAACATGAAATGATTCTAATCAATCTGTATGGCAAAATATCCACTCCCATGTCAATGCTTTTCATGTGTTACTTAAAACTCCTTCCTGGTATGAAATGCATAATTCTATAGTGCCATAGAGAACTTGTTTTTAATGATGAATTGATCCTATTTCTTAACAAATTTTACTTGGCTGGTCCCTATTAACCTTATCTTTGGCGAGAGGGGGTAAGTTTGCTTTTGCCTATATTTCTTGTACTAACCTAGTAGAAGAGTGCAAAAAGTCGGTTATAAAGGTTTGATACCTTTTGAGTCCCAGAGTTTTAAGGTTTTCTGATGTTTACATCAGTTTAAGAATGCATATTATGACAAGTTTTTAATCATGTCATCATGAACTTACCCTTGGCAATACATTTTGTAATCTTCAGAACAATCTGGATGAACTTTTCATGCTCATGCATTTCCTTGATTCGGGGAAGGTCAGGTATTACAAGTTTTATGGTAGATAGATCAGTTAATTCTAGATTGGTGATCAGTTTTAGGAATCTAAGCATTTAGATTTTCTTAGCATTTGTTGTTTAACTACATGCAGTTTGGAAGTTTAGAGGAGTTTCAGGAAGAATTTAAGGATATCAGTCAAGAGGAGCAGATTTCTCGGCTTCATAAGATGTTGGCCACACATCTCCTGAGAAGTATATATCTCAAACTTTTCCAACTAAATATGAGCTATGCAAATGTGACTTAGATCTTTCTTCTACATGCCCTTCTTTACATTAGTTGTGTCTGATGGATGTTACTTTTTGTGTGAACCTGATCTGCCTTGAATTTCATTCTTTGCGTTGTGATTTCCAATGATCATTAGTTTTTGGTAAATAACAAATTTCAACTCCTTCCCCCTTCCCCTTTGCACCTCTATCCTTTCTATTTTCTTCTCCCCAAATCATACTGAGGACCTTTTTCCCGGACTATATAAGGAGGTCCTACCAATATAATGGCATGCTCAGTTATCCCTTAAGTTTGCTGTGTTAGGCTCTTTAGCTCATGATGTGTGTTCCATGTGATTCAATGTCGTGTCATGCATATATGCTTGTAGGGTCTCCTTCTTTTCTAGTTACTTAATCCTTAACACATTTTTTTCTCAAAGTTGCAAGTGAATATATGATATGATACCAATGATGTGTTTTAATCTCAATAATTTTATGTATTCTTGATTTTCTTGAGGAGACCTTGTTTAGGTTGAGCATTGATGTCAAGCACTACTGGTGCTTTTGCTTTGACTCATGATTCAACAAGCTTATATTTTATTGAGTTTGTCCTACTGTGGGTTTGCTGAAGTTATTGATCTTGAAGTTAATTTGATTATTTATGCCTTCACTAGCTTCCTTCAGATTATAATGATTTTGTTTAAAACATGGCTGGCTGCAAAATGTCAACAAAATTCAGGGGTGAAGAAAGACGTGATGAAAGAGCTCCCTCCAAAGAAAGAACTCATTTTACATGTTGAATTGAGTAACAAGCAGAAGGAATATTACAAGGCCATTTTGACACGTAACTACCAAATTCTTACCCGACATGGAGGTCCACAAGTAAGCACACTTCTTGTAGTGAAATATGGTTTTAGTCCTTTTTATTCAAAATTCTTACCTGACATATTATCATGGTTGGTTGTTTGTCATGTTAGATTTCTCTTATTAATGTGGTTATGGAGTTGCGGAAGCTTTGTTGTCATCCTTATATTTTAGAGGGGGTTGACCCAGAGATTGAAGATACAAAAGAAGCTTACAAGTAAAGTTACATGTGTATATTTCCTTTCTCTATATATTGTCATCTTTGCTTTTAGACTGAAATTCTTATCAAAAGTATTCACCTGTCATCTATTGACCATCCGTTTGAAGTTCTCTAGGAGCATGTATGGGGGTTATTGAATACCATTTTTTATTCCTCTCTCTCCCTTTTTTTTTTTCTTTTTTGAACTTTTTAGACAGTTCCTGGAATCTTCTGGGAAGTTGCAACTGTTTGACAAAATGATGGTAAAGCTTAAGGAACAAGGACATAGAGTTCTTATATATTCACAATTCCAACACATGTTGGACTTGTTAGAAGATTACTGCTCTTAAAAGGTACACATATGAGGTCATTTCTTTTTGAGTGTTACCATGGAACTTTACCTCTTAAACAGTTATTTACTGACCCATACAGATAATTTGACTTAATATCTTATTGTGCTTCTTTATTAACAGAACTGTCTTGGCTGGTGAGGAATGGCTGCGGGGACAAAATAAAAAATCTTGATATAACATGGGTTTCCTGTCTTGACTGCTATCATAGTATCATAGGCTTTGCCTGGTTTATGCTTTGTATTTGTTCTTGTGCAGCTTCAGAAGAAATATCAGCAGCTGCTTGTGATGATGATGCAGATTGATTGGAGTTGGCTCCGCTTTACAATGAGGTACACTTTTGCGTTTGTTGGGGTTTGAACATTTAAGATTAAGCAGGCAGTGATAATCTCAGTATTGTTGAGTAAGAAACTTCTTAAAAACAAAAGAAAAATGGGATTAAGCCTCTGGCTGACTAACAGATTTCTTGTGGCTTCTGATTTGTGGGCAGATGTGCAAGTTAGTGGATGATAATGTTAAGGAATCAGTTCAGACAAATCTCAAGTTGAAGAAGAACATCCAGCCACTGGAGTGGATTAGTGCCGATATTACTCGACTTCTCTCTTCCTCGAAGCCCAACCCTCATACGTCAGAGCAGCCTGTAGTTAATGCAGATGCACAATCACAAGCTGAATCACAGAATACTGTGTCAGGAACGAGTTCAATACCTCCCCAACAAAATGACAGCAAGCTGGATACTGTGGCTGATATTGATATGAAAGATCCGGGCGCAGAATCTAAATCAGAAAAGGCTGCTGTGGCGGTAGATGTTCCAGTGGACGACTTAGCAGGAGAAAAAGAAACACTAAAGGATTGTGTTAAGGTAGATGACTCAGATTCAGACCCGAATCCAACCAAATCACTCGGCTTCTACAGATTTGCCCCAGATGGAGCCACAAGTGAATGATGCGAGCACCAAAACTGATACTGAGGCTGTGGTTGATGGGAGCATCGCGCACAGAGAAATCTGAAATAAGGGTCATTGTTTTAGGCGATGAATGGACACAAACATTTTACTAATCCAAAACATTTAAGAGTTAGCTCCGAAGGGTTTTCAGTTATCTGTAAACAGAGAAACAAACGGGAAACTTTGAAAGCATCAATCCATTAATAACATTATAAAGTTGCTTTCATTTTTGAAACTTAGGGATTCTCTTTTTCTCAATATCTTAGGTCTGTTTGTGACTTCATTTTTTCTGATCTATGCTACTCGGGTTTTTGCTTTAGTTAAAAAAGAAAAAAGTTCCATTTTGGATGCGGGGATCACATAAGAATCTGAACCTAATCTTCATACAAATTGGAAGTATGAGTATGCAAAATGAAAAGTGAATGATAAACTCCATAATGCATAGATGGGCCCATAAGCAATCAATATTTATTCGTGGTACAAGATGGCTTAGTTAGACAGGCCTGTTGAAATGATTGCATTTGCTCTAGCAACTAGATAAACTAAACTCCGCTAAACATTTTAAAGGGTCACTGCAGAGTAGCAAAAATATATATAATGGTAGAGATTACTGCAGACTAGAAATACTCCTGTGCAGATCCTTCTCCTAAGGTTTGTAGCTACGGTCTTGTTTCATATGCATGTCCCAAAGGAACCAGGATTGCTTCCAAAATGGCCTGATGGTTTCACTTGTTCCTGCATAGATGAAGACATGTATAAACAAATGCCAAAAACCTTTATCTCACAAAATGTATGGTATTATAGGTACGCAGAGGTGCAGCATAAGAAATTTTTTTAGCATTGCCAAACAGGTAACACAATGTAAGAAGCCTGCTATGATTTCGAATCATTTATGGTTCTTGACTACAAATTTCACAAAATATGGAGAACACTGGATCTGCCAAGTAGATCCTTTAAGTCAAAGCTTGAAACTCTGAATTTGATGCAAAAATCAAAAAATGATTTCTAGGAAGAAGCGGAAAAATTGAAGCCAGCACTAGGGAATAGGAACTTATTTGACAAAAAGATTATTTAATCTTTTACCTGTTTCATCATTGCACTTGCCAAGTCTTCCAAAGAACCAACGTTATTGGAAATGTATCTGCTCTGTGGCTTCTGTTGCCCAACAAGATACCCTGGCTTCAGATTAACTGATGTCTCCATAGCTGGATTATCAGCCACATTACACTTCATGGCCAAGGGATCAACAAAATTTGATTGTCCAATTGCCCCCAGGGTCATGTTTCTGTGGAAAGTCGTGTTACCTGGGTCCATGCACTGGCCTACTGAACCCATAATACCATTTGTAGGGAACGAAGAGTTCATTGAGCTACATATTAGATTTGACTGGTGAGGGGCATCCTGTCTGTAGCCATCCCATTCTTGTGGTACATTTTTAACTATCTGTCCGGTGTTACGGCTGATTGTAACCCCTTGGCCACATAAATCTGGTTTCGAATCATGCAACTGATTAGGGGCTGGGGACCTGGAAGAAAAATCTGATATATTCCCACTTTGAAAGGTTATTGTAGAAACGCTGTCACTGAGATTACCAGGAAGCAAGTTGGCCTGCTGAAAACAATCACCTAATGCAAAAGAATTTGGTTGGACCCCAGAGGACAGAACAGTACTTGACCAGTTATCACTACATCTACCAAGATCTGGTAAATGGGAAGATGATCCAGAATTTAAGGAGGCCATTGTCACTGAAGATTGGTTTCCAAATATTTTGGTGCCTTCTGGCTCTTGAGGACATCTTTCCAACACTAAGGGGTCGTTTGTAACACCAAGAAGCGGATTATTTGAACATCCAGTTAATTTTGCATCGTGTAAACTGCTGGAGATGGGGAGAACAGTAGTATTATCAACAGCAGTAGGGAGTTCTTCAATGCGTTTAACACCCTTACTATGTTGTAGTTGATCAAGTTCCAATGACATTGGCATCCCTTGAAGTATGCCACCATTATAATTTCCAGGAATCATGACCTGATTGAACCTGTTCTGATTATTGTTAATGTTGCCAGAGTTTTTTGCTTGACCCAATTGAATCATTCCAGAAGAAGGAAGACCATGCATACCCAGCCCAACAGGTGTGTTCAATCTTCCAAGCATCCCCCTAGGTGGCAAAGATCTAAAGGCTGCATTGTGAAACTGATCGGATCCTGATAAGGGATGAAAATTCCCAAGTCCATTCAGATTTTGAATGTTTAGAGAACCCATCCGCAAATATGAAGGATCTGCACTACCTAAGGCTGCTGCCAGATTAGCTTGCTGGTTAGCCACACAGCTGATCCTTTTAAGGTAAAGCCTGTACTTCTGAAACCATAAAATAACACAGTTAGCATCCTGGATAACAATAACAGATGGTAACAGCAGCAGGAAAGCTAAGAACAATTATACCTGGAGATGGCTTGCCACATTTTCTCTTGTAAGCTTGTCAACATTCATTAACTCTAGAATCTTCTTTGGTACAGCCTCTGCATACGATGTGGGAGAAAAGTGGAGGAGGCAAAATTAGAAGCTAAAATGAAATCCTTCGTGCATAAATAGATAGGCATATGAATCATTTCCTATAATCCACGAAGTCAAGGATCAAGAATTGAGTTTTGACCAGCAAGAATACATTTTGAAACAAAAGAAACATCAATTACAAATATGAAGAATAAAAAAATAATGAAATTAAATGAAGAAAAATTATCTGCACCAATCAATATCTTTACAAATAATTAGCAAAACAGCAAATTATAAATAAAACTATGGAGCATGCAACTAATGAAAATTGTTAAATTTTAAAGAATTGTCACTAACAGAGAGCAGTTAAGAACATACTGTCAACACCCAACTGATTGACAGCTCCAACAAATTTCCGATGCAACTCCACCGTCCAAACAACACGAGGTTTCTTTTGAGCTGATGGATCCTCATTATCATTTCCATTCTCATCGTGCTCCTCGTCCTCATCTTCATCTTGGTCCTTTCGTTTTTTGTTATTCTTTGCATTCTGATCAGCATTTCCCATTCCTCCAGCCTCATTGTGTCCATTCTTCTCTTGGCTGTCAGAAGCATTCTGATCCTTCTTGTCAAATTTCTTTCTCCGGACAACATGTTGCCATATGTTCTTTAGCTCCTCAATTCGGACAGGTTTCAGCAAATAATCACAAGCTCCATGAGTAATCCCCTTCATCACAAGCTTGGGATCACCATTTGCCGATAACACTACAAACATCTCATTATACCACGATTAAAACTAAGATCCAGTTTAATTAGTAGATGCAACCAATATTTTGCTACAATCTTACCATAAATGACAAGGACAATTTCCCACAATTCATCTTTCATTTCATTATTGGATTGTCTATATTCAAATTAATAAAAGTATCAACTTCTTAACATTTTGAAGGCTGTGAAAAGATTAATATCTGGAAAGGACACAAAATTGAATTTTTTGAAGTTCCGTTTGTAATATGAAAGCTGGTATAGAATTTTTTATCAAGTATATGTTTTAATCATTGACATGGTGATGAAAATGTCTGAATTTGGAAGAAGAAAAAAGAAGTGAAAAACCGTGTAAAATTCTCTCAGCTTACTTATGACTGGCAGATCCATCTCAAGCCCCACAAGCTCGAGCAACTTAAAACCATCCATGTCTGGCATATGGACATCACTGATTACAAGATCAAACTGGTTCTTGTTTTCCCTCAACAACTTCAGTGCTATGATGGCCTGACTTGTGGTGGTAACTGCAGGAGAAAAAGTTCATTAAATCAAATGTATTCTCCATGACTTCCAAGATTTGAAATCCAGAAATTATTAGCAACAAGAGTGAGTCAGAAAATAGTAAATAAAAAACTTAACGAGGATTATTTGGCAAAAGGTCCCAAAAAGATGCCCACAGCCATCAATTATGATATACTTCAAAATCTCTCCAACAAGTAATAAATTTCAGGAAAAAGTTATTAATTGTAGAACAACCCAAAATCGTGGAGAAGCCAGAGGACTGGTTAAATGATAATGAACAAAATCTTATTGCAAAGGACTGTTTAAAGAAAAGAAAAACATGGTAGAAAAGCAAAGAGAAATCAGAAATTATATTTGCATAAGATTTCAAAAGATTTCACAGAAGTCTTGTTTGCTTAAAGATCTCCCAAGATTCCTCATGCAATACAAATGAAGTCCCCAGCACATACGGATTTCACATCTTACTTCATCGAAATCATAAATTACCAAATGAAGAGCAGAATCCAAGCAAAATCAACAACACAGCCAAAAACTAGAAAACCAAGCACCCAATTCAGCAACAATGTCAACAAGAAGAACTGCAAAAACCCCATCTCCAGAAACTCATAAAAAACCAACCTTGATACTGGCATCTGCTAAGCAGACCCTGCAACACCGTGAGACAAGTGGGATCGTCGTCAACAGCCAATACCCGCATGCCAACCGGGAACTGATCCCCGGGTTCGCTAATTGCTTGTTCCACAGTCATCTTTTTCCCACTTTACAACCCACAAAACAGAACCAAAAGCTATTACCTCCAAGATTAGACCCCCTGCTCCTTCAGTTTTTCCCCCAAATAAGAATACCAGGATGCCAAAGAAAGAAACGCCCCCCACCCACAATTTAGATTGAGATTAAAGGGTGATTTTAGGGAAAGGAAAGTGATTAAGGAACGTGATTGGGCAACGTGAAAATATGGAATAGATTTGGGAAACAGTATCCAATCTCTGCGTCTTATTAATATATTAATCAACTGCGAAAAAAAGGTAAATAAGAACAAGAATTTGGAATCTAAAAAACCACGAGTAGTATGGAGTCTGTAAGAATAAGTCAGAGACTTACACTGAAAAGATTTATTACCATTTCCGTCCTGGTTGGGGTGAGAAATTCCCGGCGCGTAAATTTCACGCAAATGCTTAGTGTAAGATTGTCGGTCAGTTATTGGAGAATCAAGAAAGAAAATCATATCATATAATAATCAACATAAGGCTATGTTTGGAGTAGATTCTTAACAAATTAGTGAATCTAATATAAGTGATTAATCCTCATCAAATGAATAAGAGTATTATGTAAACAAAAAATATGTTTCTTGAGTCGGGGCTTCACGCCCAAGTGGCAGTAGGCAGTGCAGTTGTTAACATTTTTGGGTTTGTTAGCTGTTTAATTATTTAAGTTCTGTAGTTTAATACTATTTAAATTATAAAATAACATACTCTACTATTAACTTAATTTAATCCCTCCAACCTTTTTTTTTTTTTATCACTGTACGATCAATTTCAATACCATACCAGAGATGAGAAACATATAGAACCTTTGAGGTTCAAATCTTAGGGGCGATTAACTTTTTTTTAAAGTATTAAGTTGATAAGGGAATAAATCATCTAAATTATTTTGAGAGGAATTAGTTTTAAAATACATAAAAATTGACTAAAAAATATTTTAAATATAAATAACAAAGAAATATATATATATAGAGAGAGAGAACATTTGATTCTTAGTGAACAACATTTTCAATGAAGGAATGATTAACTTACAATTAATCAATTAATTTAATTGGAAGACTCTAACAACAATTTATGGGCAGATTTGCCGTGATCACAAATCTAAAGGATATCTAGAGGTTTGTTTTTTAGTTTAGGCACTTACCTGTTAAACTGTGGTAAGTTTGGGAGCAAGTTTTGCTTGTTTTTTTTATTGGAAGCATGCATAAACCGATTAGTAGTTTAGTACTATATGTGACAAATGTCGGTAGTAAATGGGATGGACCACCCGTAATTGAATCACGCGCGAGAGCTAAGGTTAGATAGGCTGTTAAAAGCTGTTAAGAATGATTAATATTTTAATTACAAGTTTTTCCTTTTCTTCAGGTTTTTTACATGAAAGGGTTGTTCTTTTTGATGGCTTAAATCCTTGTAATCTTAGACCTAACCTAACAGGGTCAGAGAGGCTTGTATTAAGGTGAGTCAGAGGGAGTCAAATCTTCACGGAAAGTATCATAAATGCTGCTTTTTTAAGCCAAGGGGAATGTGAGAGAATCAAGCCCTAGAACTCGGATTTTGCATGATTTGATTTCCTTGCTTCTGTTGGGTGATGTTATGCCACGAATTAGAATGTTAATGTACAATAAATATTCTTCTTCTTTTTTTTTTTTTTTTTTTTCTCATAGAAAAGAAAAGTTATTGAGAATGATGCTTTTATAATATGACATTTAGACATGATTCATGACATTAATATTGTAAAATCCATGAAAATAATAATTATAATATTATAAATTTACAATTATAATATTTCTTTCTATGCTTTACTTTTTATTTAAAAATTTATATATAAAAAAGAAAAGTTATTGAGAATGATGCTTTTATAAT